GGTGTTTCCCAGTAATAAATCACATATAAAATATCAATCTTGAATACCAACTGAAAAGTTTAGTCAAAGGTACTGGAGTCTTTTAAAGGCGATTCATTTTGTGAAAAGTTCTTTAATTAAACAGCTCTGTGGAGGGTATGGGGCGGTGCTCACTGGCTGGTAATTCTCCTTTACACTTTTCACTGATCATACTTCACTGTCTCAGACCAACAGACAGCTTCAATTCATCTCCGAATAAGGGGATTTCTGACGGGACCACGGCAGCCGTAGGAACGCTCTTATCCCAGCATGCACCTGAAGTGTTGTGGGAAGATTTATGGCTCTCACAGACCCTGTGCTGTTCGTTTGATACGAATGTGAAACGATTAAGGAAACCATATAATCTGCTTTTATGGGTCTGGGGCTTTGAGCTTTGCGTGTGTTGTGGCGTGTTTGTGTGCGCACAGTTTTCGCCAGAGGGAACAGGGTAGCTGTGTCGAAATCCCCTCATCACAGTATGTGCCAGGGGCCTGGAAGGCTGACTCTTGGGGTCGTGCGCGTGTCTTTGGGCTGCCCAACTGAGAGTTTCGCTGTACCTGTGTAGACAGGAACCGACCTTCAGAATCAGGAGTGCTTAAGACAGCAGAGTTTCCGTCACCTTCTGAGGGGACGGCATCACGAGCCCTAGATTCCTGGGGCCGGCCTGCAGTCACGACAGCCTGAGCTGCTGGCGAATGCCTCTGCTGCGCAGACGGCAGCACAAGAATGCACAGCGCGCAGTTGGGTGGGGTGAGGAGCAGGGGCTGGTGAATGTATGGATGCCGTCGGTGGCTGCTCAGCTCTGCAGGTCGAAACGTCCCTTCAGCGAAAGCCTTGCAGATCTGGAAGGTGCCTGAGAAACGCTACTGTGCCACACACTTTGCACAATACATGCGTTACTAGTGCACCATCAAGCTCATTGAGTTACCAGACACGTCAAAATGAAAATGAAAACGTGAACAAAAAGATTGGCTAAATGATGAGGAAGCCAAACCCGACTGGCTCTTCCCGCTGGCATGTTTATCCGCATGAGTGCCTGGTTTTTCAATTAGTGCTGAAGGTGGCAGCTTGGCGGGCATGGTGGGGGGGCAGAGTGTTTATCAGCACGCTTAAGCATGGCCTCTGCACCTCGCTGGCCTAATCACATCAGCAACGCGGGATTGGGGGGCCTCGTTCTCGGGGCCAAGAGCCAGCCTCGACGGGGGGTGGGCGATACCAGCATCACAATGAGACTGTGTCTCCAGCCCACTCAGGTAAAACCATCTCCTCTTCCACTTATTCCCCTCAAGAGTCTCTGAAATTGGATTTATAAATTAATAAACTGCATGCAATATTTATGAGTGCCCAGTGACTGCCAAAAGCAAAGAGACACAGCCTTTGCGTTGCACAACACGCATTAATGTATAGAAAATGTCCAGCGCCATTTTGTGTGAATGTGTCTCCACAAGCCCCACCCATTTTTTCCCATTTCCACACAGCCCTTAATCTGCTTCCACGCCGCTAAACAATGACCATCTGATCAGACCTCGTTAGGGGCCATTCAGCGCAGCCCCACACAAGCTGCACCTACCCAGCCGTCTGGAATGAGCCGCGTGAGAGTGCGTGTGACCCAGGAGAAAGGGGAGAGCAAGAGGAACACTGAATCTACAAGGTGCATTCAAGTTCTAAGGTCTCCTAACTTTTTTCTGAGAAAGTACGTACCCCAGAAAGCTGAAACTGCTGCTCTCAACATAGTCACCCTCTAAACTTACACATTTTCCCAGAATGTTCACACCATGATTGCATGGCCATGGCGAACACTTCTTTAGGGGTCTAGTTTCTCCACTGGAAAATCGCTGATGCAAGAGCGGCATGACTGGACAATGTACGACCAGAGAGAGTGTCCTTCAGTGTTGGAAAAAGCCAAAAACTGCTAGGTGAGAGATCAGGTGAGTAGGGAGCATGAGGAGCCTCTTCAAAGTTGTTGTCGAGAAGAAACCTGTGAACAATGGCCACATGGTGAGCAGGAGCATTGTCTTTAAGGAAGAGCACACATGCAGCCTTTTTCGCACATTTTTCTTGCGATGCTGGAAAGAAATACTTCTTCAAAACATCTTCGTACATACAAACAGTGATTTTCCAGTGGACGCAACAGACCCCTAAAGAAATGTCCTGAGCAGCTGTCAATTGTGGCGTAAACGTTGTGAGAAATGTGTGTTGTAACTATGTTGAGAGCAGCAGTTTCATCTTTCTCAGAAAAAAATAGGAAGCCTTAGAATTTGAATGCACCTTGTAGTGCATTTTGAACACATTTTATTTTGGCTCTTACCTTCTCAGTTTGTGGATAATGGTGTGAGATGTTTAAATGTTAACCTCCCCACACACACACATCAGGCCAGGTCAGGTGACAAATCCATGTGATCCAGACAGGGCTGAAGACAACGTCAATCTTCTGCCATGTTTGAAGGTGTGCTGATCCAGTGGCAGTGACCCTGTACCTGAGAATAGGGTGGAGATCGGAGGAGGGGCAGGGGGTGTCACTTTCCACCCAACACATCAAACATATCTCTCATTTAGAGAAAGCAGATCCCGAGGAACCCCTTGGGGGTGGGGGGCAGGAGAGATGAAATCTCTGAACCTTAAATCCCTGGGGGGGTGGGCTGCAGGGTCACCAGAGGAGAGGAGGTAGGACAAAATTATTTTGAGTTGCTTTTTATTTTATTAAAGGTGAAGAAGCACTGGACAAAGTGACAGTAGATCATTAATTTGAAAAGGAAAGATAGAAAATGGAGGAAAAAAAACAACAAAAAAAACTACAATGACAGAATCATTAGGTGTTTTCTGCAGCATGTACGTGTAGACTGTGAGGGTGCACACTGAATATTGGAGCCAAATACTAATCTCTATCTGGCATAGGTATATTTTAACACATTTAAAGGTAATTATCACATTAATATCAAAGAAGGGCAGTTCTGGCTTCGGTTTAAGTAGAAAAAAAGCAAAATCAAGAGGCCTAAACAAGTCTGCTGTATACTGAGCTGTCCAGCACTGGCTGTGATCACGCAGCACTGCTGAGGAGGCCAGTGACCTCAGCCCACGCTGCCTTTGATCTATTTATGTATATGCAAAAGAAGTAATAAAAAGCATCAAGCTGCTGCCAGACCCCGATTTATGACAGACTTTGCCTGCTGGAGTTACAGGCCCTTATCAGATCAGTACCACCCCTCTCTCAGGCCCAGAGGGCTTGGTCGATTCAATTAGTGTGTGAGATGAAATTAGACATCATAGCTGATGTAATGGCTACCAAGCCATCAGGACTAACGATCTTCCCCCTGGTGGAATGTATTTTATGCCATATTTTAGTCTCTCTGACCGTCATGGATAATAGCCAGTGTTTCACTACCGGCCTGCCCTGTAATTAAGTTAATGCTCATGTCAGATTTTATAATCTGAACAGGGGCTTTCAGTCTTGGCCCACTGGCCTTTGACCACCGATTGACTTGCTGTAAATGTTGTATGTGGTGCACACATGTACTCGTAAAGCTTGTGACAGTCGAGCCCACTCTGGCCACCTTCCACATCTCCTCACCGGGGGCCTGCAGTAAATGGCGTCTCTTTCAGAAAGGACTGCTCTGTTTTGATCTGCTTTATCTTGCATCTTCTGCGTGCTTCCTAGCCGTAAGGGTGCAGTGTTCTCGGGCTGGCGGGTGAATTCCTCCGTCTTGTTTTGAATCCAGCGTGGTGGGCTGTCATCGGCCAGACAGCTCTGTATGCTGAAAGGTGAAGGGCCGGGGGGCGGGGGGGGGGGGGGGGGCAGTCGGCGTGTGGCGAGCTGAGAAGATACTGCTACGTGGCAGAAGAACGCTGACCTCTGACCTCTGGTCATCACACACAGTAGCGTTCAGAATCCACAGGGAGCTGGGGGGTAGTGTGGTATCTGAAGTGCACAGACAGACATTGTGTATAACAGCTGACATTGTAAAGCACTGTAAAGCACAGTAAAGTTGCAAAAAATGTGTGAAGTTAGTTTCAAAGTAGGTTTCTTAATTTTTGTTGTTCATTTTTAAACTACAATATATTCATAGTATACATAAACAATATTCTGTATATTATGTAATAGTTGATGCTGTGGTGTTTTATTTTCAGTTTATAAAGGCCTAAATATACTGTACACAGTTTGAATGTATTTCGTATTAAGATGTGATTTATTTTTTTGTATATATTTTCCGTATCCCGAAGAAGTCCAGCACCCTAAAGATTACTATTTGGTTGCCATGGAATTACTGAAGGGTCAAAAAGTCGCCTCTCTAAGCGTTCAGTGGGAGAGAGTGACCCCCTCGGCCTGCCCTCCCGAACTCGTGTGCCCTTTTTGTCTGTGGGGCCAGACCAGCCGGCCTGCTGTGCTTCTGCCAGGACACTGTTAACAGCCTGGGAAGCAGGAAGCACGGCTCAGGGTGGCATCATATGTCGTGTCCACTGTGTAGGTCCTGCGGCTGAGTCCCTCCTGCCTCGAGTATGACACAGACAGACGCTCTCATGCACCCACATGCAAACTCTGCACCTGGTGAAAAAACATCAGCAAAGCTCACGCTCATAAAAATGCGCACAATCTAGGCTACAGCGTGCCCAGAATCTGGGGCTGCAGGGCCATTGTTGCTGGGCAAATCATTAATGGCTGCTACAAGACACGTCACTGCTGCTATAAAAATTCCTGTCCTGAATATAAATATAAGGATATAAAATTCCTTAAACCTCTTCATATCATTTTCATTTCTGCTTTTCTCTCTCACATTCCCATTTTCAGCCCCCCCATCACCAAGAGCTGCCAATCTGCTGATCAGCCGTCCCATTCAAACCTGCAAAATCCCAGCACCTCCCCCAAGCTCTGCTCCCCCCGCAGAGGGAGGGATTAAGTATCCTGCCCAGGGAGGGGACATTGCCCTCCCTCGCTCCCTCCTTCCCTCCCTCCCTCCCTCGCTCACCCTGTGATCCTGAATTGAAGCTATTACTGCAGGCTCATTTCATTCGCTGACACACACGCTGCACCAGCTTCATGCCACTTGTTGGGGAGCCGTTTCCCCAAGTAATGCTAAGTGCAGGCAGCTGACCCGGGACTTATATAAGCCCTCCGGACAGCAAACTGACTTGTGGATACTCCCCACTTCTACCTGTACTTTCTTTTCTTTTTTTTCTTCCTCACGGTCAGGTGTGCACCAGCTGGAATTGGACCTCTTTTTCTGGTTTTTTTTGGCTGCAGACCGGACCTGCTCTTACTCTGCTCGGCTTGTGTGTGTGTGTGCGTGTGTGTGTGTGTTTGCTTGTACCGCGTCGGAGGGGAGCGGCTGGCCTGACTCCGCATGGCGGTGCCACTCCTGTCCGCTGCTCTGTGCTCCCTGCGCAGACTGAGGTAAGCCCCCTCGGGTGCCCAGCCTGCCCCCACACTGGGGCTCTGCACTCATACTCTGATTCACTGTTTCTATGTGTTCAGTTCATCAATGATTCAAGAAAAGACCAAAAGCCACTAATTGCTAACAGCCCATGGCTCACTTTGGTTTTGTAAACCACTTCATATAAGAGTGCTCTCTTTGAAAATGCCTCCTCTCCTCTTTTATTCTCTCCATCACAGGAGGCTTTGTCTATTGGGCTAAGGCCAGAGTAACCCTCATTCTCAGAACAATCTTTTTTTTCTTATGTATAGCAGCCTTATGTGTCAGCATCATCATCCTCTGTGATGTGTTTCTTTTATTAACACAGCTTCTGTTCACCAGTCTTGAAATTCTGCAAGTTTATTGTTATTTAAATGCATTTGATTAGATTTCTTTAAGAGTTTGCCCCAAAGGAAATGCTGTTTTTGTACTGCCAGTATTGCTGTTCCTTTCCACATTAAATCAATCTATTGAGGAAGCATTCCATGTATTGTTTAAATTAATCTGTTTACAATAAGTGCTTTTTATGCAAAAAAAAAAAATCTGTTTGGTCCTAGACTTTCAACTTGATTGGTCTGTTATTTTGTGAATGAATGAAAGTCTGATTTTGATTTCAGCTTATGGACAGAAGCTGAAATATTTTTTTAATTGTCCCTAATTATCTTATTTTATAGATTCAGTTACACAAATTGTGGTATAGCTCATGACAGAATTCAAAGTTTTAAAGTTGTTTTTTCTTTTACAAACAAGTCTAATTATCAGTGTTGTTGACACCAGTTAAACCCTTGATGTATTGAGATATTTAAGCAGAAGTAATCAGGGAAAAGCACGGTGGCAGATGTGCTTCTACTCGTCTTCAGGGTGGAGTGGAAGACTGGACTCTTCCTATTGTATGATAATCTATGCGCAGTGCCTGGGCCCGCTACCACACCAGCTCACTGAGCCTCGTATGTGATGTGCCGTCGCGTTAGCACAACTGCGTGTGTGCATGTGCTGTAGGCCGTGTGCCTTTGTCCTACAACTTGGCAGGCACTGACACTCATGCCTCTTCTGTTGCACAGCTCATTACCTGCACTGCACGTAAGCGGTGTATGATATGACATTTGCCGCAGAACTCGTGCTTGACGTGCCGGGATGATGTAGCTGCGGTCCAAGAGGTTAGTCATGAGGAAGAATGCTGCCTCCCAGTGATCGTGGCCCTCCAGGGGTGGGAAAAATCCATGGCAGGACCTTCTGCCAATCACCGGTCGAAAATATGAGCACGTCGCTGCTCCCTTCAGCGCTCATGTAATTCCACATATTTTTACTGACTCCTCGGCTGTTTCCATCGCTAATTGTCCTCCGCCCTGAGGCTGGGCAGTGTGATTCATGTGGTATCTTGGTGATTGCTGATGGGAGGGGCAGCTGAATATTTCACCAAGGCTGGCTCCAGGATGAAAGTCCCCGGTGGACATCACAGCCGCCATGCAGCAGTTGCCAGTCCATCCCCCGTCTGACACAGGGAAAATCTGCGCATTTCCTCCCTCCTTCTCCTGAGAAGCCTCGCCTCCTTCCTCAGATGCCAAGGACGCTGAATCTATCACACTCCTGGCAAACATTCCAGCTGCAATGTACTGTGGGATTGGAACAGGACCGGTGTACTTCGAAACTGCGGTGGGCTGTTTCAGTGGAGACAAACTGCCATTAGCTAGCCAATCTGGGTACAGCTGAAGTTTTGCTGACCCATGATGCCACGAATTCAGGCCTCACGCCTTCCCGCTGTCACTTTGGTTTAGGACAGAGCTAAAACCAATCATGATAACAAGATCTAATAGGGAAGCGCTGTTTTTAGAGGTTTGGGTAGCACAGAGCAGCTCTGATGATGTAGGATGTCATCAGTGAGGACAATCCCTTCTCTTTCCTTATTCACTGTGGCCCGCATGGTCCGTGTCGACCCACACGGGACACTGGTGAAAGAGTTTACGTGACACAAGGTATCCTGGGAGAGCCCGTCAAGCTGGAATGTTAACGTCCGCAGAGCAAGTCCCTCTCCTTATCTGTCTCTGTGTCCATCAGCTCATACTCTTGACCACAGAAGGTGTAGATCTGTTTATTTATGATTTGGTCTTAGCTGAAGCTGAAACTGGGACCGTACTGAACAAGGTGCTGATTGAGCTCAAGCCTTAGCATTATGTTAATGCTGCTGAGGTCAAAGTGTCCTCCTGTAAATACAGCCCAGGAGCAGAGAAACCAGCTAAGTTTAGTGGTAGGGCCTCGTTCCCTGACCTGAAGATCACAATCATGGTGCCTAACCCTGAGTCCTCCTGTGCTCTCATCCTGCTTGGGTTTATCAGCATCGAGAATCAACTGAGAGAAAAGAAGGAGACAGAGAAAGAGGGAGAGAGATTTAATGGTGGTGGGTGTGCCAGGCATCCAGCCTCTGTGTCCCTCTCAATGAGTGCATTGTCCCCGAAGTATTGGAAGCTGAGGTATCTGCATCAATGACATGGTGAGGTGTGCAGCGCTAATCCTGAATATCCGTGATCTTCCTGCCCACCTCCTAAGAATGTGCCGTATCACTAACATAGTGGCCTGGCCATTAAAAAAGACGTAATGAAAGGGCGAATTAAGGAAGGGTTGGCTCACATATGTCAGGGCCGAAGATGCCGAGGTGACTCTGACATGCTGCTTTTACACGTCTGGATGCTCTGCTATGGAGGAAGGCATTAGCGCATGGCATACGGGCATCGCGGCCACCTGCCTTTTAAGATGGTGTGGCCCGCCTGTGCGGCACGGGCCTGTGCTCTGCTCTTCTATGCTGCCAGTGAAGTGCCGCTCTTGTTTATTTTTAGGTCCCCACCCCACTGGTGAAGATTCCCCCTCCCTTCCAGAGCTGAAAGACACAGCCGCCGAGAGCCGGGGAGACCCAGGGCTGAGGGACAAAAACACTAACAGAGCTAGTCAGACTCCTCCTTGACGACCACATGACAGCATCCAACATGACAGCGATGAAGTCAGCCGTGACCTTGATGTCCACCTCCCTACTCGTCATCATCGTCCTGGCTGCTCAGGCTTCAACCAAAGAACTTCCTAAGACTGGCAGGTCCTCTTCCTCAAGCCTTTCCTCTCCCTCCTCCCCCCGCATGAAGCTTTCGTATAAAGGTAAGCATCTCCCTCATCCATACTAACTAATCTGTCAGGCTCCATATATGTGTGCTCAACTGTCATTATATATATTAATTAGATGAATAACATATGACACTAATTAAGCTGATTGTTCCATCCTTCAGCGGTAATAATGCAAAGTGGCTGTGCTGATTGGTTGGGCTGCAGACCCAAGCATTTCCAGCAGTAACTTGTTCTATTTTACTCAGACCAGCTTTACTTTGTGAAAAACTTCGACACCAAGAGTGAGCCTGAATCACGTCTTGTTCTTCTTGTCTGCCTTCTCAGTAGAAAAAGTAACAGACTAGTGCTTTGTTTGAGAAAGCAGAACTTACACCGAAGAAAAACCCAAAGGAGGAAAAATATTAAATGAAATATTTTTCTTTGCTAATCACAGCCAGATTTTTAACCCCTAACAATATTCTAAGTGAAGATTTTATTACCCTATATTCAAAACCATGTTATTTATATGAATTGGGTCAATGTTGACTTTGTACACATTTTTGTCAATAGCTAGCAACTGTGAACAGGATTGGATGGTTTATGCTATACATTAATACTTATAGTACACTTAGTACTGTGCAAAACTCTTAGGCAGTCAATGGAAATGTTTCAAGCTATTTATCTGGGTAGTAAGTGTATATTTGCTCAGTACAGAAAACACAATTTAACATTAGAACATATGCAAATTAAAAGTAACAGAAAAACTAACAGGAATTTCTTCTTTTCTCCAAAATGTTGCTGATATTTTGTTGGCTAGATGAACACTGCTTCATTTCCCAAACCTCTCCTCAGGGGCACCGTAGCCATTCCATTTATATGTTAAATTTCACCACCAGCTCATTTAGTTAATTAAATTAATTTGTTAAATAACTCAATGAGGTATTAATTAGCCAAACAAGGTAGGGTAGTAGTGGTCATGTCAGAAATACATTGGTGTATCGGATGGTTGCTGGAAACACTGAGGTGGCTTTAGGTTAGCTTTCGAAATGGCTAAGCGAACACATATTGACAGACATCATAGTTTTACACCAGCATGAAGATCATTTAAACGTTGTTTCTTTGACTGCCTAAAACGATACATTTTTGCACATACATGTATAATGTAATTCTAATTATATAACATATGTTTGCAGTAGAATGGCATGGTGGCTCAGTAGTAGTGTATCCTCCTGAGACCCCACCCATTCATTTATGTCCATTGTAGTGGTCATTTTGTTTTTGCATCTATCTTTTCACTGATGTAAGGAAACATATTTATTCCTGTTGTACACTAAAGAGGATATGCTGTGAAATTAAAAACAAAAATAAATTTGATCTAAAATAAACTAAAATAAACACATATTGACAGACATCATAGTTTTACACCAGCATGAAGATTATTTAAACGTTGTTTCTTTGACTGCCTAAAACGATACATTTTTGCACATACATGTATAATGTAATTCTAATTATATAACATATGTTTGCAGTAGAACGGCATGGTGGCTCAGTAGTAGTGTATCCTCCTGAGATCCCACCCATTCATTTATGTCCATTGTAGTGGACATTTTGTTTTTGCATCTATCTTTTCACTGATGTAAGGAAACATATTTATTCCTGTTGTACACTGTGAAATTAAAAACAAAAATAAATTTGAAAAAAGATGTCTTATTTCCTCCAAAGACATAGAAAATCACAATTAACCTAAAACTGAAGGACACTTTTTTCCTTGGGTCTCAGGAGGATATAGTCCCTCTTTCACTGTGTGGAGTTCGCATGTTATTCCTGTTGCACGGAATTTTTCTCCCACAGTCCCAAGATATGCAGTTGGGTTAATTGGTATCTATTTTTCCTGTAGTGTGTGAGTGTGTGCATGTTCATGCCCTGTGATTGGCTCTGATCCCATCCAGGGTGTAGCCCTGCCCTTACACTGTGCTGCTTAGCATAGACTCAGTGACCTGTTGATTTTATCCAAAGAATCTTGACATTTAAACATTTTTTTCAGCTAAATATTTATTTAAAGAGTTTTTAACGGATTGGAACCCACCTCAGGGATGATCTGGTACCTACTCAGAAATCAGAGGTCCATTTCTGCAACAACCAGCTTCCTGCAGTCTGCTTTCATCCATAATTTTGGAGCAATCATTCTTCAAACTTTGCTATTAATTTTTTCTTTTTGAATCCTTAATTTTAAACCCATGACAAACCAATTTACAGTATACGTGGTTTTCCCGTGTCATATTAACGTAAATTGGAAGTACTGTATATTACAATGTTAATGCTATGCAGAAATCACTTTTATAATCAATTATTTATAAAAATCAATTATTCATCAAATAAGCCACATTTGGATTTCTCTTTAAGTAAGAATTGCACCTGAGACTTAGGCACACAATTCAGATTGTCATCAGCATGCCTGCCCACGTTACTGCTTTAGTTTTTAATTACGGTTTGACTCACTTACATTACCCATTGTTTGGCTTTTGCTTGTGTTTTTAGACTAACCCTGGACCCCGAACCTAAACACATATAACTCAACCATCCCCAGTTCCACCCCCCCAACCCCGCCCCTTCTCAGTGCCCTCTGATTAGAACATCTGTTGCCCTGGAAGGCCCCAGGATTCCCCTGTATCCAGGGCAACTGTGCAGGGCAGCAGTAATACCCCAGTGGGGAGGATATGAGCGGAAGAGCACAGAGCTGCATTGAAAATCATACTTTCTTTCTCTTACTGCGATAGGATTGGCCAGTTCCTTTGTGCCCCCCAGTCCTGTCGGCCGCTACGCGCTGGTTGTCAAGCGACCATGAAGGGGTCGATTATTCATGTGACTGAGGCGCACAGCACTAACAACATGGAGACAAAAACTTTGACTTTAAAGAAAAGAGCTCAGCGGGACGCCACTGGCCATGTTATTACATTCTGTCCTCCCTACAGCGGGGCTGACATCACAGGGAATCTCCCCCAGTGTCCCTCCGGCTCTGACGTAACCGCGCGTCCCGTCCTCCTGCGCATTGAGGAGGCTGAATCTGCAAAGCAGCTGCGGCTTTTCTCAGCGCTGGGAGAGTTTTGGGATCCTTGGACGTGGCGGCCTGTTCTGAGACCCTTTGTGATTTGTCTAGCAGTGATAAGGCTTAGTAATGAACACAGTGCCCCCATTGACCTTCTCTGTCACTTCAGTCCCAGTATGCTGTATGAACTGCGGTTTATGGATTGTATGAGAGAAATTTGAAGGTGCAGTAGTATATTATGGTACTTAGCCTGAATTGCAGTGAAATATACCGTTATATAAATAGCCAAGACTGTAAATTCATATTAATGGAAGCATAAAGAATTGCTACTGAGTGCAGTAAATAGAGATTGTGATTTATTTTAGCGAGCGAAGCACTCGGATACTTTCCCAGGCAATGATGTCAGGGCAGTGTGTGCATGTGCGTGTCCCATGGTGTGCCCTAACGTGGCTCGGTGCCCCCGCAGACCTGCTGACCTTCCACGGTGTGCGGCGCTATGAGCTGGAGCGCTCCTGCTGCTACAGCAGCCTGCTGCTGGACGAGGAGCGTGGCCGGCTCTTCGTGGGCGGCAAGAACTTCCTCCTCTCCCTTAGCTTGGACAACATCGGCAAGCAGGAGCAAAAGGTAAGTCGGCCCGTTCCCCCCCCCCCCCAACAGACACACACACACACACACACACAGAAACATACACCTGTCCGCTCCCCCCATGTACTGGGCTTCTGCACATTTCCTTCATAGTGGGTATGGTATAGCTCACACCTACGGCATGCTGTAAAATGCACCATTCATCTTGAATGCGATTAGCATTGTTTCCATGCTGCAGCAGGCAGGAAGCTGTAATAAAGCATATTACCCATGCTTGCCATGCTTGTTTTAGTGGAGATTTGGTGTTGTCTATATAATGCAGCTTAATTATAATATATATACGTAATGATGGAATTAGTACAATCTGCACATACAGTGCGGTCTGAGACGACCTTTGTACTATTCTTTTCAAATTAAATATGAAATTGTACTTTACAAATTATATGATCAGCATAACAATTGGAGTAGTGGAATTGTTGAAAAAATTTACATGAATTTCAGAAATTCTTAGTATTTCATACAGCCGCTTTTGCTTTAATGACAGGATGACAGGGAGCTGGTAATGACTCCAGAAGCCTGATGTTCCAAAGCACATCTTGTGATGTTACTGAATGCTTGACTTTATCTGTCTTCAAGTGCCTCCCATAAATATTCGATGAGACTGAGGTCATTGCTGCCCTAAATCTCAAATTTGGTCTCATCAGTACATAGGACTTTTTTTCCAGTGGCCTGCTGTGAAATGCTGGTATGTCTTAGTCCATGCCAAAACTTAATTTATTTCCTCGGTTAAATGAAAGAAATTCCAGTTTTCAATGTGATCTCAGATTCTGGGACCCCACTGTCCATTATTATCTTCTAAGTCACCTTCTGTCACTTTTTCACGAAGACTGTGAAATCTGATTTGTTTGCTGGGAGACTGGTGACTTACAGATGACAGTCCCTTGTTGTAGACGTGTATTGTGGGGTGGGACCTGTTTTTGGCAGCTCTTCAGGTATCTGACCCTCATGTCCTCTCGAAATGTGTGAAATATATTCCCACATCAGCTAGAGCAAGATGTACTAAGGCTATACAAGAATGCACCTCAAATCACAGCAAAATGGGTTGTGTTTTGAAATTGTAAAATGCAGTTTCACTGTTCTGTTGTAAATTTTCTGCTTTAATGTTTATGGGCTGAGCAAAGAACTGGTTTGTTGAGCATGTTTTGGGAAATGAGAGATGGGGGGAGGGGTTTCAGTGGCCAATGACCTTTTTTGCAACCTGTTGCTGCGATCCTGAGCCCCCGCGTCACGCTGGCTATTTGTCAAGGTGCAGCCTGTTCTTCCCATTGGCTGAGTCACACTGGAACTTTTATTTGCATTTTGCTGCGTAAGTGTGACAAGGATGTATGCAACATGATTCATATCATTTACATTTATGTTTACTTTTAGCCTTTATCTTTTAGCCTTTATGATTTGCAAGTCTACTTGCCAAATATGTATGTTTTTCTGATGTCAGCCTGATATAGGATCTTAAGTTAATAATTATTTTTGCAATAATGCATTTTATTCTTCACCTATTGCTCATGGTGATATAGCTAAGTCAGGTTATGCAGTTTAACTTCTTACTGTTCACTCATTTTCCGAAATCAACTGTTATGTTAGGAATTAACCAGATAGTCTTATCAGAGGATAATAACAAATCAAGCTTAGATGTTAGATTGCACAAAGAAAAGGTTTTTAACTAGGCACTAATTTAAGGTTAAACCGGAATTGTACCATTGAGCATCCATGAATTTACCACACATTTGCTTGCATTCTCGAAACAGTGAGGTGGACAGGAGAAGATCAGAGGCATGTTTATATACAAATATGAATGGCCCCTTTCTTTGGCCCCAATCCCCTCTAACACCCCCCACCGTACTGGTACACTGCTAACAGCAGAAGATTAACAGCGTTGACTGACATTCCTTTCTGGGAGAGTCGGCTGCCTTAGGGTTTGGGGGGTGAAGCAGAATGGGTTGAATGTTTATTAAGGCCTGTTCTGGGTGAGCAAGGTGTGGTGAGAGTGGCCATGTAGATACCTTAGTGCGGGGTTACCAGCTCCCATGTAGATACCTTAGTGCGGGTTACCAGCTCCCATGTAGATACCTTAGCGCGGGGTTACCAGCTCCCATGTACAGTAGATACCTTAGTGCGGGTTACCAGGTCCCATGTAGATACCTTAGTGCGGGGTTACCAGGTCCCATGTAGGTACCTTAGCGCGGGTTACCAGGTACCAGGGGTTAACTTGTATAACTGGTAAAGTTATGGAGGCTATAATCAAAGAGAAAATGGTAGATTACCTGGACTCAAATAACATTTTGAGGGATAGCCAGCATGGATTTACGAAAGGTGAATCCTGTTTAACAAATCTGTTTGAGTTTTTTGAGGAAGCTACTCAGGAAGTTGATGATGAGGGTTATGATGTCATCTACTTAGATTTCCAAAAGGCTTTT